CAAAACCAAGGATTAGCCGAGTGCGCCGCGCTGGTTATTTGTCGCAACCAAGAACAGCGCTGGAATTTAGGAACAATGTCTACCCCAGATCTACACGTAAAAAATGAGCAACTGGTGAAATTACACAGCACACGATTTGAAGGGATTATTGGGCCTGCTCTGGAATGTAACATTCAAATAAGACGGAGGCCAGTTTTTGAGTCGCGATAGACAGCAACGTTCGCCCGCGGCCCATTTATAACGAAAGGCGCCTCTCCCTCGCCGCAGAAAATCTCATTCATACGGGTCTTAGGGTCGCATGCATTTATATCACTACTGGGGATGGGAACACAAGGGCAGCGTGCACTAACATCCCTGCCGGAAAGGGATCGCAGCTTTAAGAAAGCTTCATATCCTGAAGCTCTAAATTTTTGGATTTCACAAGCTTTATTTATCCGTAACTGTTCCTACTACCCTTCACTATAAACATAGTAAGCAGAAGCGAAAAGCTGTACAAGCCGCATTCTTCACCTTTTTGCATAATTCCCTGATGATCCTCAGCGGCCTATCGCCTTTTCTTCAACGTCTTTCTTTCTTCAAAATCAAAGGAAACGTGCGGAAACTTTACTCATTATATGACCAACATTGCAAAGCGTGTTTTTGATAAAAACAAATGATGTAATGAAGTCATTTCTTACGATAAACCACAACTCGAAAGTTGGGTTTTATCAAATATTAGGTTGGCACATAAGTAATGCAACTTTTTATATATTAGGTTGTCCGGAAATTAATGCAGGTTTTGCAAATTCTCAATTCAAAGCGTCATAACTTCTTTGAAACTGCATATTTTAACATGAGGTAAAAACTGCTGTGATCAGCAAGTCTTTATCTATCTAAAAGCATGCTCAATTATTTTTGTGGCTCCAACAAGCAAATTACTGGAAACAAAAGTTAAGAAGGTTTTTCTTTAACAAGGTCATATTTGGCAAATTGTAAACTGCTATCAGATATGAGTGTTCAGCGAGAAACTTCTGCAGCTTGTAGTTACTGACCAGTACTACATATATAGCTATGCAGAAATTTTTTAAGGAATTTTATGCAAAAGAAAAAATTACGTAATCAAAATTTTCCATTTTTTCGATATTTCCTCCGCGGACGCGATCTCCGATAATTTTAATTTTTTTTATTACCTCAACAAAAATAAAGCGTGAGAGGTACCAGTCGAAATAATATTTGACGGCACTGGCCTCACTCTTCAAGCACGAGGAGAAACTCACGGTTGCTTTCTTTAGAAAAGTTTTCTACGCCATGGAGTCGCCGCGACAATTACTCATATTTAAGCCTCAATTTCCCTGCTCTCACTCTCTGCTCTAGTTCTAAGGAATTGCTACTATTTATTCTGTAGGTTCACTCAATACCTTCCTTCAGCTATATTATCATGGAGATAATCTTCTTGCCGAATAAGTTCAAGCCAAAATAGTGCAAAAGGTAAATTTTGTGATCCGAAGCTTCATCTTCGGATGGTTGTAGATTTTGAACAAACGAAGTTGATCGTAGAAGTAATATATATAAGAGAGAGCATGAAGAGAAGTTTCTTATAGTATGCGAAGTTGGTCGAAACTTGCACATATACAGAGGAATGATCCTTTTGAAAATGCATTTGCAGAAACCTGCATTAATTTCAGGACAACCTAATAACTTTTATCTATTCAAACGTAGCGCATTAATTTTTTGACAATATAAGGAATATGATGTAAGCTTCTAATGCACACATTTCTGCCGAATTTCACCATTTTATGAAAATTACGGTAGGTTTACGGTATTATGGGAAAAATTTATAATGCATCAGATTTTGCTGAAACTTGGCCTATAGGGCTTATTTGACATGCTGATCACAAAAATGAGATCCGTTTCGCATGAAAAGGCCTCGTCCGTGAGATCAAAAGATGAATTTCGTTTTAGCGACAAATGAATATGATATTCGTGTTTATCGCATAGGATTGCCCTATAACGCAAAGTTATAGCGAATTCTGACTTTTCGCAGCTTAGTTATCGACAAATTGCCTTCAAAACTTGACGCATTTGACTTTTACAACTTCTCAAACGCGCCCCACCTTGATTTGTGTTTAAATTTCATTTCTTTCTCACTGATTTCGATGTGCCAACTACCAGCTACATGCTGCCTATAATTGCTTTTTCATATGTTTGAATCAGGTTTCGTAGGGCTTCATGGTTGCCAAAAAATCGTGAAACCTCCATTATCAACAGTTTTCAAAAAATGCTCAGATTTTCTGAACTTCGTTATCAAAAATCAAACGGTCTGCGCAGACTTGCAGCTTACATCTACATGATGCCACAAAATGAAATTGCTACATAGAGTAGAAAAAAAGTTACGAGAAAAGTTGCAAAACTTATGTGTCAACCTAATAGATACTTCAAATCTCATTTGTTCTCATCAGAGGCATTCTCAGCATTGTTGGCTTAGATAATCAGTGCAACTTTGCAATGTTTTTGCTGATTGGAAAAAAGAAAAATGACTTTGAAGAAAAGACGGCCGGCCGCCGGGGCTCACCAGGGAATCATACAAACAGCTGGAAAATGCTTGTACAACTTCTCGCTTCTGTTCAATATTTTTATAGTCAAGGACAGTGGGAATGCTTACGGATAATTGAACAGCGTGAAATCCAGATATCTGAAGCTCCAGGATATGAAGCTATTTTATAAGCTGCGATCCCCTCTCGGCGAGAATTTAGCGCATGCAGCCCTCAAGGCCCACGCATTAACATCCCCGCCGGGGAGGGATCGCAGCTCAATAGACCTCAAATCCTGATGCTCCGAACGTCTGGATTTTGTGCTGTCTACGTATCCTCGACTATTCCTACCATCCCACTATGGACATATTGAACAGGAGAGAGAAGCTGTACAAGCCGCATTTTCCAGCTTTTCATGTGAACCCCTAACAATCCCCGGCGACCAATCATCTTTTCCCCCAGACTCAATTTTTTGTCTTCGAAGTTTAAGAAAAGCTTCTAAAGTTGTTGTAGAAATTATCTAACCTTACAGTGGTAAGCATGTTGCTGGTAAAAACAAAGAATGTAATGAAGTCACAAGTCGAAAGTTGGTTTTTGTTGATTAAATTCGATTTTTCAACAAATCATCTGTTCTGACCAGCAACATGCTCATGTTAAGTCGGCAGTAGAACTTCAGAAGCTTTCGTCGACTTCGGAGAAAGAAAAATTAATTTGGAAACTTGTTCGGTTTGTGTGTCTGATAATTGGTTAATTAGACGCTCACACAGCATACCGCATTGTACGCACTTTTGGAAAATTTGCGCTGAATTGTCTGGAGTGCATCTATTCAAAAAAATTCGAACAGCGCGTGGCCCTACATGCTTTCAGAGGACATTACATCAACCGAAGAAAGATATTCTCATACTCGTCCCAGCATTTACAAGCGTTTTTCTACCAGCGCAGGTTAACATCTGCAATGAAAACGACATGTAGCTCATAAAGTTTTGAGTTCTCTTTCAGTTTGGTAAACATATACGTTAACTTCGTAAAAATCAGGTCATAGTCTCGGCTTTGTAAAAAACTCCTCTGGTAAGCATAAGCATATTTCGACAGCGACTTGCTGCGCGAACTCTTGTCTGTTAATGTACGATGTGATACATATATGTCTGAGCAACCGATACTGTACATCTATTCTGCTTCAAAAATTACAGCAAGAACATTCGAGATTCGGTCTTACTTACTTGTTATTAATAAACAAGAACAGGAAAGTATTAGTGCATTGCGAGAACGGTAAATGGTAATACAGAGGGTGAGTGACATATGATGTCGCCGAAATGGCGACCTCTTCGGCAGAAGCCCGATACGGTTGTTTGCCCAGCTCCCCTGCTATAAAAGCAGGGGGCTGGGATTGATATGTGTGTCTGTTCTGTGAGCATTGTTTTGCACCCTGTCCGGGTAAAGAGGACAATTGTTACATTTGTTATATCATGACTCATAATAACGGGCTAAGGATGTTTACGTGACTTTGTGTGTGTGTGTGTGTCTGTCTGTTACGAAGTGGAGCGTGTTCCAGCCAGCGTTCTAAGCTCAAATTTTGTATAGCGCATGCTACCTTCATGGAAGTCCAACATGCAAAAGCACGAGTAGATTCGTTGAGTGGATCCCTCAGAAATTGCGCACCAAAAGGGTCCGCCTGGCTTCTGTACCGCGAAATTCGGTCCGTATCATCACTTTTTTGCAGAGTCGTGGATGAGTTTGGTAAGCAAATGTGCGAGCGATGGAGTTTAGCCAGAAAAGTGGTCGAAAGTTCACTACATAACGAAAACGGCGCCAAAACGAATTGGTTGTGTAAATGGTCAATTTGGCGAGGTTCTAGCTAAGGTTTGAGAAGTTTTTCGCACAGAGATGTACCTCACGACTACCAAGCCATGACAAATCCAAAAACCTATTCAAATTTGCGTTTGTATTCCTGCGAAAAGTTTCATCCACGCGAAATCACCGATCTCACGTGAAAAACTTTCTAAATGAGTGGTTGTTTACATTTTATTCGTGGTAGTTGGCATAGCGCGGTGAGTTCCAGTGCCACGATTTTACGAGAATGAGTAAGGCACATAGATAGTGGAGCCAGTGCGAACCTCTGCGGAGCAGAGGTGACGCACTGGTATTCAAATAAATCCATTCTTCTTAAATCTGAACCACCGTTTGGCACATTTTGGTGCATCGGTCAAAAAAAAAATCCATTTTTTGGTCGAGATTCTTTATTGAATCGAAAAAGTCTAGGCCATCATACCTAGCACAAGTCCAGCATTTCCCTGGCAATAAAGACTAGGACATCATACCTAGCAACAAAAAGCCCAGGCTACCATACCTGGCAACACATACGCTACAATAAAGTAGGCTGTAAATTAAAGCGAAAGCAAAGCACTTAAGCCGAAAAAAAAAGCAAAAAGTGATAATGGCATTCACATTACACAAAAAACCAATAGCATACAGTGCTAAAATTTGGGTACCTTAGTGGAAAAGTACAGAGGTTACTCCGAAGGGGTCTCGACCAGCGGGAATGAGACCAAACAGCTCGATGAGCTTTACAATGCTGCAGACCTGATCAGTGGAGGAATTGAGCTCATCAGGGAGAGCAGAGACGCACTCCAGATCTTGGTAGACAAGCTGGATAAGCAGTTCGACGACCTAAACGTAAAAGGTAATCGTAAAGAACTGTTAGCCGAAATCGAAGAAATCGACAAAGACACGCAATACAGCGAAAAAATCGCGGCTGCTAACGACACAATGTACGTGCTAAAAGCGCGATTGAACGAAACTCGCACGAAAGCGAAGAGACTTGCAAAGAAGCTGGATAAGCCAGTACATACCGAAACGGTATCGACACCTAGCGATGCAGCAATGAAAGGTGAAATCAACGGAGAAGTTAGAGAGTTCTCCGCCAATGCAGGGGCATGGTTATCCGAAGACCTATTGATAAATAGCGTCGTAGAGTCAGAAGACATGATGTGTCGAACTCTGAAACCAAAACAGCTCAAAATACCGAGGTTTTATGGCGACGAAGAGGAATTCGCCGAATATTGGGCCATTTTTAGCACCCTGGTACACGAAAACAAAGTCCTAAGTACCACAGAAAAAATGATGTTTCTCAAGGACAGCCTCAAGGGAAGGGCGGAAATTGCCGTGAAAGGAATAGAAATGGTACCAAAGAATTACCAGTGGATGATAAAAACACTGAAGAGCCTGTAAATAGAGCAAGAGTCGTGCAAAAATTGGTCGACATGCGACCAGCAACAAATACTGCTGAAAGCTGCTCAGACACACATGACAAAATACGCATGTTGATAAACCAACTGGTCTCTGCCGGGCAAGACATCCGCAAGATGCAAGATGCTCTTTGGACCGAGAAAATTCTGGAAAAATTTCCATACAACATAGTGAAAAACGTGCTCACGTCAACGCAAGAACTGCAAGAAATTACAGTGGACGACATAATGGAAGCTCTAGACAAGCAAATTGAAGCAAAAAAATACGTGGATTCGCGTCTCAAACATTTCTCGAAAGGAGAACAACCACGAAAACGCCCAGATTGTGCACACAGCGAGCGTAATTATGCAAACAACGAACGTACTATACCAAACAGTACGAACACGTGTGTATTTTGCAAAATGTCCAATCATACGACATCGAATTGCAGAACGGTAACCGACACTTTTGCAAGACGAAACGTGGTCAAAGAAGAACATCTTTGTTGGAAATGCTTCTCCAACGAACACAGTGCTGGTGCCTGCATGAAACCAAACTGTTCTCGATGTGGGCGACTACATGATGTCTCCTTGTGCCCGTCCTCAAACGCTCCAAAGAACGAGCGAAATTCGAATCAAGCAACAAACAATCGCAACTACAACCATCAAAGGTCAGCGTATCGCACTGATAGACATGATACAAGAGCAAATAGACCACAATGGCGCAATAATCATGGACGCGACTTCCAAGATAGGACAAACCAAAGACAAGTCGTAAACAACACATGTGTTGATACAGGAAACGACAATGCACAAGCGGTTAGAAACAAAGAACAATTTGTGCTTATGACCGCGGAAGGCAATCTGTGGAACCACAGAACAAATCAGTATGAAAAAGTCCTGTTTTTCTTCGACACAGGAGCTCAAAAAACACTTATAAAAGAGAGCACTGCTGAAGAATTTTGTCTACCAACCCAGAACACGGAACACTGCACGATGTCCGGCATTGGTGGACATACCGAACACTTCAAAAGCAAGATCGTAACGCTGAAAGTCAGCACAGCCTATGGCAAAGAGATGATACTCACCGGGCAAACAAAACCGGTCATAACCAACGGCTTCTCTTCGGTTCGGCTGTCCGATGAAGACAAAAATTTCCTGCAAACAAAAGAAATGGTCGTCTGCAATCCGCGAGTGCGCGGTGAACTTCAAAACCCGCAGATCCTTATCGGTATAGACTATTTTCTCGCGATGGTACCTCCAAGCGCAGAAAATATACAAATGCCGTCAGGATTGAACATTACAAAAACAGTGTTTGGACCGAGTATACACGGCAAAGGGACGATTCCACCATAGCTAACTATCACCAACACTGCAATCCACGCGCTAACTCTCATAAATGACGTCAAAGAGTCAGAAATGCTCCAGAAAATGTTTGAACTCGAAGGACTAGGAATTTCCTCAGAAGAGTTGCAAAAAGATGAGAGCACATTCACATATTTCCAGACCTACTCAAAGAAACTTTCGTTTCAAGACGGTGTTGTAATCGCTCCGCTACCACTCAAAGACAGCATAGTTGATCTAAGCGATAACTATGCAGTGGCTTACAGAAGACTACTAGCGCTTTGGCAGCTTCTGCAAAACAACGAAAACCAACGTTGGTACAAAACTGTTCTTGACAAATACATACAGGACAACGTAATAGAGGTAGCCAAAGATGATATTTCTGATAAAGCCGGCACCTATTATATGCCACACTCAGGCGTTTGGCGGCCAAACAAAGCAGTACCTTTACGTATAGTGTTTGACGCGTCCTCCAAACGAAAAACACAATTTTCGCTAAACGACGTGGTCTACACCGGCGAGTCCTTCGTGAACAAAATACATGATGTACTAACGTCGAGTCGATCGGACCACATCATTCTGCTTTGCGACATTGAAGCCGCTTTCACGCAAATTCGACTAAGTAGCGCTCACAAAGACTTATGCAGATTCTTATGGGTGCGAGACACTGAAAAAGCGCCAACGAAAGACAATATCGTCGAATATCGATTTACGAGGCTCCCGTTCGGGCTGACAGCTTCTCCAAGCATCCTGAACATGGTGATTCTCGCCTTTTTGGACTGGAAAAACACACCCTTAGCAAGAGAGATTGCCTCGCATCTGTATGTGGACAACATCCTCCTAAAAGCTAATTCCGTTCAAGAAGCGCTGACAAAATACCATGAATCAAAAGCGCTATTTGCTGAAATCGGAATGAACTTACGCGAGTACATTTTCAACTCGCAGCTTGTCAACCAAGCCATCCCTGAAAAAGACCGTTTACACGGTAAGGTCATAAAATTTTTGGGAGTGAATTACGACACTGAGGAAGACACTTACGCCATGAGGGTAGACATCCCGTCCAAAGAAAAGCTCACAAAACGCGATATCGTCAGTCAGATAAACTCAGTGTACGATCCAATTGGCATGGCGGGACCACTTCTGGTGAAACTGAAATCTCTAATGCGAGAAATCTATAGCACAGGATTAGACTGGAAAGAAACTATTCCTAGCCATTTCGCTTCGAAATGGAATGAGGAGTGTCAGCAGATAAACAATTGTGATTTAACTCTGCGACGTGCTCTACCGACTCCCGATAAAGGCCGATACACCCTTTGGATATTTTCGGACGCAAGCAAAATAGCTATCGCGTCATGCGCCTATCTGCAGTGCATTGAGACTAGAAAAGTCTCCCAGCTAATAAGCGGCAAAACTCGTCTTACGCCCAAGAAAATGGCGCAAACTATACCGCGATTGGAGCTACTCAGCGTACTCATAGCCACCAGACTAGCAAAGAGCATTGTAAATACAATGGGTAACGCTATCGAGGACATAAAAATAGCCAACGACAGCGAAATCGCTTTCGCTTGGATTCCAAGCATGAGAAAACTGCCGCCGTTTGTCGCGAGTCAAAGAGATCGCATTTTGCGACTCAAGCATCATATTGAATGCAAGAACAAACAGATACAGTTCTACCACGTCTCCACAAACGACAATCCAGCAGACGCTGGAACCCGCGGATTATCAGCATCAGCGATGAAAAATCATGCCTGGATAAAAGGCCCACAATGGTTAGCGCAAAGCCCTGAAAAGTGGTCGTTACGCGTAATTACCGAGGCAAATGCCGAATACGAACAGAGCGATGACGACGAAATTCAAGCGCATCCTACCGTACCGCGACCCACCAGTAGCGAGGAAATACAGTCATTTATTGATTTGCAACGCTTTTCAAAACAACAAGCTACTGAGAACAGTAGCCATAATTGGTAAAACTTCAAAAAAATGGATACAGAAGTGCAGCTTCAACTCCGAAAAGTTCCCTATTATCAAAAACTTTAGCACGGAACAGCACATTACAGCGAAAGATATAATGCTCAGCGAAAGACTGATAATCACCTCAGTACATCATTCTATAGCTATAGAAGAACTGCAGAAGCGCTTCCGCAATGTGAAAATTGTTAGAGATGAATTTGGAATAATACGCCACGAATCGCGCCTACAAAACGCGATACTGCCTCACGATACAAAATCGCCAATATTCCTCCCCAATCCGTCCGAACTGACTCGATTGATTTTGGTAAACATACACCAGAAGAACGCGCACTGTGGAAATGACCACATTTTAGCGCTAGCACGACAGCGATACTGGATACCTCAACCCATGAAAGCGATAAAAAAGTACCTCAGAAGCTGCAGCACGTGTAAAAGATGCCATGGGCTGCCATTCGGCGCTCCAGAGATGCCATCGCTACCCAAAGATAGAGTACGAATTTCCAAGCCATTCCAAAAGATTGGTTGCGATTTTTTGGGTCCTATCGACTCGCAAGACAACGAGAAGATGTATGTATGCCTGTACACATGCTTAACTACAAGGGCCATACACTTAGAAGCTGTAGAGAACCTATCAACAGGCGCATTTCTAAACAGCTTTGTAAGGTTTGTCTCACGACGTGGGGTACCACAACTCGTAAGGACAGACTGTGGCACTAATTTCAAGCTCGGTCAAAAAATCATAGAAAAATTGTTTGAAAAAGACGACCGAAGCGAGAATTCTGTAATAAATTACAGTGCTACTGAAGGTATAACGTGGATATTCAATCCACCAGGTGCACCCTGGATGGGTGGTGTTTGGGAAAGGTTAGTCGGCTCAGTCAAGCGCAGTTTTACTAAAGCTGTTGGCCGCCGTAAAGTTTCCTTCATTGAGTTAAGCACCGTTATGGCCAGAATCGAAGCCATCATAAACACTCGCCCACTAACAAAGTTGAGCTCGAGTGATATAACGGACATACCTTTGCGACCCATAGACTTCCTACAGGGCAACGTAAAATATGCACTCCCAAACACTAACGTGCGAGCTAACGATCCTGATTATGATCCAGAACTCATTCAGACCGCCTTACAAGCGCATGAAGCAATGGAGTTCTCAGAAGCTACTGCAGCTAAATTCTGGGACCGTTGGAATGTAGAGTACTTGACACTTCTCCGCGAAAGTCAAAAGAGGCATTTAAATCAACCGCGGCACACGCCTCACCACCCACGAATCGGCGAAATTGTGCTTATTGAACAAGAGTTGATACCCCGTGGTAACTGGGCCTATGGAAAGATAACAGAACTAGTCAAAAGTGCAGACGGTCTGATAAGGTCAGCCAAAATCCTTACACCAAATCATAAAATTCTACAAAGGCCCTTGAATAAGCTGTTCCCTCTAGAAATCAGATGTACTGAAGAGGCAAACATGGAAGAAACAGCAACGCTGCCAGAAAATATTCAGCAGGGTGAACATCCAGCTCAGCAAACACGTGTACAACACGACACACATGCTGACACTGGCGAAAATCTCTTGCAAGCGCAGTCTAGTAGACGAAATCCGCCTAGAATCTAAGATCCGCGCCTACGAAGTCATTCAAAACTTTGAACGAAGTTTGCAAAGCACATCATCCCCTCATATCTCTCGGGTCATGACAATAATTAGCCTCATCCTCCTATACAGCTGTAATAGTGTGGAAGCTTTGACGAAGGGACCTACTCAGATAATCGCCGGGGGCAGGCGGTCCGCAAACTCGCGCCTTTCTGCAGGCGGTCAGCAGAATTTTGGGGCGTGGCCAAACCTTCAGCGGGCGGTACTTCCGCTTTCTGCCAGCGGGCAGCAATACAGAATTTTCTGCGAGCGCTCGTCAAATAATATCTTCCAGCGAGCGCTGGCCAAACTTTCAGCAAGCGCTCGGACTCTTTTTAGGTATTTTCGGGCGTACGTCGAGCACAGGTAAGACTCTGTGTGGTAGAGGTGTCACCGTTGGTTTAATTACTCAAGTTTGAGGTACTTTCTCTCAGCGGAAAGTACCTGGGGGTTGCGCGGTCCTCCACAAAGGACCGTACGGCCCTCAAAAATTTTGCATATTCTCGCGGAAAGTCCGCGAGAATGCGGCCACTGCGCCGCAGCTAATCCATAAAGAAACCGCGATTGTTCTCCAAGCATTCTTCTTTAATTTTGCCAGCTTTCTTCCAAATTTCTGCAAGCGGGCCGCAAAAAATCAACGAACTATTTTTCCGGTGCGCGCTTGCTCAAAATTCGCATGGCCGCCTGCCCCCGGCGGTTATCTGAGTATGGAGTGCGCAGAAGGAATACTTAACATTAGAGAGCTTGCAGAACCATTCAGGTTATGTGTGAGTAATACATGCAAAGTGTTCGAAAATAACACTCAAGCCATGTCAATAAGCATCCCTCCCGCGAAAACCAAGGGGCAATTTCATGTGAACCTCACAACCCCGACATTCTTGGTCACTCAGTTATGCAAATCTCATACATACTGCGATCACTCAAGCAGGATCATGACAACATCTTTTTTGGGAAACCCACATTGCTGGCCAACAGGTGCAGTGATAACTACTGCACTATCCATGTACGCCCTAGTAACAATCTTGATGATGGTGTTATGGGTGTTGAAACGGCTGCTCACACGAAGGCCAAACGTAGCATCTAATCCGGAGACAAACATCGTACTTGATAGCTTCAACCCCAACCCATTAAGCCTATCCAACACGATAGTCATAGTGTTAGCCCTATCATCTATGATTAGCACAGCAGCATCATGCCAACATGGGTACATGCGACATACAGTCGAAGTAACTTGTCAAAACCAAGACTGTTCCTATGAATACAATGAGGAAATACTCTTTAATCGCCTACAGAAGCGTCTTTGTATCAGCATAAGGCACGCAAATCAAATCTTAAGTACAATCAAAATCAAGAAAAAGGAGATGATTATGAAATGTTCCAAGCTGTCCCATTTCTATACGCGAGATACCACACATCGAATATTCTACACTACTACTCAGATAACCGCCGGGGGCAGGCGGCCATGCGAATTTTGAGCAAGCGCGCACCGGAAAAATAGTTCGTTGATTTTTTGCGGCCCGCTTGCAGAAATTTGGAAGAAAGTTGGCAAAATTAAAGAAGAATGCTTGGAGAACAATCGCGGTTTCTTTATGGATTAGCTGCGGCGCAGTGGCCGCATTCTCGCGGACTTTCCGCGAGAATATGCAAAATTTTTGAGGGCCGTACGGTCCTTTGTGGAGGACCGCGCAACCCCCAGGTACTTTCCGCTGAGAGAAAGTACCTCAAACTTGAGTAAACCAACGGTGACACCTCTACCACACAGAGTCTTACCTGTGCTCGACGTACGCCCGAAAATACCTAAAAAAAGTCCGAGCGCTTGCTGAAAGTTTGGCCAGCGCTCGCTGGAAGATATTATTTGACGAGCGCTCGCAGAAAATTCTGTATTGCTGCCCGCTGGCAGAAAGCGGAAGTACCGCCCGCTGAAGGTTTGGCCACGCCCCAAAATTCTGCTGACCGCCTGCAGAAAGGCGCGAGTTTGCGGACCGCCTGCCCCCGGCGATTATCTGAGTAGGTGTGATGGAGCAGGGTCATGTTTCAATAATAACTGCAACACCCTCATGCACAATGATACAATCCCAGAATTAGAATTCGCTTCGGAATTTCCAGGCTATTCCGCCTGCGAGCACACATGCGGCGGGTTGCTTTGCGGGTGTTTTCTTATCACATCGGCATGCTCCTATATTCGCGTAGCGCACATCCCAAAAGATAATAAAATCTACGATGTCATCAGCTGCGTGGAATGGACCCCGGAGATCAGCTTTGAGTTGGACATGAATATTGGGGGCACAGCATTAAGCAAAGATGTGGTATTACAACCCTATCTACCGCAGCAGCTTGAGCAGATCACTCTTAATATTATCTCGCTAAGCAAGCCGCACTCTATGCTAATGGATAAGCGTTTCGCAGTTGCTGAACATGAAGCTCTAAGTATCCCAAACGGCTACGAGTTACCCGTGGAAT